GTCGGGCGGCGTGCGAGGTCGCGGAGGCATCCTCGGGGGAGGAGAGGTGGTCTGCGGAGGTGGCTGCTCGTCCTGTCGCTGCCGGCTGCTCGCCCGTGCTGCCTACGCCTTCTCTTTCCATCGCGGCTGCTCCTCTCCGACCATGCCGAGCGACGGGCGGTGGCGCCGCGCCATTGCGGCCGAGCCGGCGGTGGGCGGCGGCCGCGGTGAGCTCCACCACCGTGCCGCCGCTGACCGCCGCCATCGCCGCCCCGAGTGCCGTGAGCCGCGCCGCACCCCAGCCCTCGCGCACGGCGGAGGCTGCGTGGACGGCCGCCTCGTCGATGCGGACGAGGCGCCTCGGGTCGGGGTCGCGCCTCGCAAAGGCCAGCGCGAGTCGCGCCGTTCCGTAAGCCAGCGCTGCCTCGCGCGCTCGACGCGCCGGCGGGTAGGCCGCTGCAAGGCAAGCCGCACCGCCCGCAGCCAGGATCGTGCTGCTCGCGTTTCCGGCGAGGCTGGCCGCCCTGCCCCTCGCCGCTGCCGCCGCGCGCGGGCGATGGGCCGTTATCGCTGTGACGAGCGCAGCACGAGCGTTGGTGTGGTCTGCACTGCCGCTGACTAGCGCCGACTGCGGCGCGGGCTCTGCCACACTGCACACTGCAGCTTTCGCGCGAGGTGCGATGGGAGCCGACCCGAGGCGGGGCTGGCAGGCTGCCAGGGAGAGTATCATCTGGGGTCGCCAAGGCGGACGCTCTCCGTCCCTTCGGCTGGCGGGCGTGAACTTTTGAGGTACTCCCACGCCTCTCGGGGTTTTGTCTGGCCGAGTCAACCAGAGAGGCGTGATTCTGTGTGAGCTCTGTGTCTTGTTTTGCCAACAACAAACCTAAAACCCGAGAAGCCTCGGCGAGACTGCGTCAGCTGTTCCCACAGCAGGCTGGATGGAAGTACCTCGCTAACCGCATCGCGAATCAGGGCCGGGGCGCTAAGAAGCGCACCCAGCGGGCCGGATGATTGGCATCGGGTTACGGGCTAGAGAGCCCTAGCCCCGGGGGTGCGCGTTCGCAGGGCAAGGGCCGCCTTAAAGTAAACACGGGTCCCCGAGGGTTAGTCCGCGCTCCAGGTTTCCCCTAGCAGCGGAGCGCCCCCTCTACTCGGAGCTAATAAACACCAGACACGCGCACGACGGCCGACTTTTGCATTTCTCTTCCAGGCGTGCTGCACTCAGCACAAGCTAAGCACACCTGCAGCGCTGCAGGAGGGAGAGCATATACACGTCCAGGCCACGGTGCCGCTCTGCCGCGCTCTGCATACACACACATATGCTGTACGCCACGTCCAGCGCGAGGTACCTCCGCTACATGGAGGCCGCCGATTCTCCGGAGGATGCCAGCGCCAACGAGGTGCTCTCCGCTCACAGCACGATCGCGAGCCTGGTCTCGCTCACGAGAGGCACCGCCGTCTTTGGCGTCAAGCACTACCTCCGCTACGCTCAGCTCTCGCTCACCCACGGAGACCCGCCGCAGAAGGAGTGGTCGATCGCCGTCGGCCGCGCCGCAGCGCAGACGGCGCGGTTTGCCGAGGAGGCGGAGGGGAGCATCGCGGCTGTTGTCGCCTCGCTCGAGTTGGGCTCGCCGGTCGCGCTCGACTGGCTGCAGGTGCGGAGCGGCAGCAGACACCTCGTCGAGCACCCGTGCCAGAAGCTCGAGCCGCTCAGCCGCGCCGAAGAGCAGAGGCTGCTGGCCTCCCACGCCGAGGTGGAGATCCTCGGTCTGACGTCGGGGATG